CAGCAGGAAAGCTTCCCCTGAGGTTCCTGGAACCAGCTGACTTGTGCACGCAGTTTCCAGACCCCGTGGCCGTGGCATCCCAGGGAATCCCAGGAGGGCCGCCAGGCGCCGTGGCTCTAGGCACTTTCCAGACTGGGCGCCTCACTGGGCCGGCGAGGAGCAGGAGGAAGCTGGGCCTCGGAGACCGGGTTGTGTTTCCAGCCTCCAAGTAGCGTTCTCGGCCGTAGACACTGAAACTCTAGGAAAAAGAGAAGCGGAGCGAGCCACGGCAGCCCCTGGCCCAGACGGCCACAGCGGCCGAGGTCGTGCGCTTCGCCTCGTCCGTGACACCACGCTCCGCTTCCTACTGCCAAAAACCGCGGGCAACACTCAGAGCAGGGTCCCCTGACTCGTGGGCACTTGTCCGCCGCCGTCCCCCCACCCCAGGCTGTCTCAGCGTGCGGCCCCGCTGTCCCGTTGTTGTCGCACCGACATACGCGCTGTGGGTCTTTCAAACTGGGGACTTGTGTTTAGAATCGCACGACCGTGAGCCATCAGGCCCCCCGACCCGAGCTGGATTCCCACAGCTGCCCCCGTGGTGTTGCTTGGCGTGCTCGTCTGTCCTGGGGATGCCCTGTTTTGATTTGCTCCGTTTTTTCCAGTTGGTGCTGAATCTGAGTGTTTGCCGGGATTCTGGCCTCAGGTTTTGGCAAAATGGCGAGTGCACCTTCCTCTGGAGGCAGACGTCTGGTGTCCCCCTCGGGTGTCATTGGTCACTGTTGAGATGGTGTAAATCGTTAAGTCCTGCCTCGGCCCCATTAGCCACGGTCTCCCGGTTGTGGGCCAGGGCGGCTGCTGCGCTGTGGGACTCAGATGAGGTCTGGAGGCGATTTCCGAACCCTGGGCCATGTCGTCAGGATCACATTGGTTTGGGGCTCCAGGTGCAGACAGTCGCCCACGGCTCGGCGTTTTTCCCAGTGGTCGGGCCCCCCGGGCTTGCTGGGTCCCCCACGCAGAAACGCTGGAGGGAACCGCAGACACCGCGTGGTGTCCGGCTGTGCCCACGAGCTGGTCACGGAGCGCCTGGGAGGGTCGGCCAGCAGGGTGTTGAGTTCAGCGTCTGGGCGAGGCGCGGAGCAGGCAGCCCGCGGCGGCACACGGGGGGACCTCGCGGGGGGCACGGGACGGCCGCTCCAGGGCTCCTCCCTGGCCGGGCCAACGGGGGCGGAACTCTGGGTGTTTTCTACTTCAGATCATGGCACGTCGGTGTCAAGGTGCCGTGCGCTGAGCGTTTAAAAAAAATCCCTCCGTGCTTTCCTATGGGGAGGGAACGCAGAGGTCAGTAAACGTTGAAAGGCTTTTCTCGTGGGAAATGGGCTGTGGCAGCGGCTCCGCGGGCAGGGCTGACTCAGACTGGGAGTGCGGGGCCCCTTCTCCCCGCAGGAGGCCTCGCCCACGCACAGAAGAGGCGCGGGGGAGACTGTCCCACGGGGCGCCCAGCACACAGGGCAGGTTCATCCGGGTCTCCCACCTGCAGGGCCCAGAACTCCCGGCGGAAGGGGAGGGTGGCGACTGGCGCGGGAGACCCCTACCCCCGGTGGGGAGTGATGCCTTGTCTGGGGCTGCACCCAGCAGGCCCTCAGCACTGACTCGGGGTGGGAGGCAGGGGCCCATGGGCGACCCTAGCTCACTGCCCTCTTCTGGGGGTGGTGACAATAGTAACAGGCACAGGGCTTGAACTTGTTTCCCAAGCACGAGGATGAGGATTTTAAAAATTAATTTATGTCTTCTATTATTTGGGGGGAGGGACGGAGCAGAGGGAGAGACTCTGAAGGACCCTCCCACGCGGACTGCAGACTCTGGCTGGGGCTCGACCTCACAACGGAGATCCCCCAAGCTGGCCAGGCCACAGGAACAGGCATCTCCAAAACTCTGGGTTTCGTAAGAATCCAGATTCACAGAAAGTTGCCGAGCTCCCCCTCAGCTGCCATCCCCAAGCCTGTCTGCCACGTGAGTGCCTGGACCCTGGTGGGTTCTGGGGGACAAGAGGGCACTTGGGTCTCTGCTTTGCCCCTCAGTGACCTTCCATGCTGCTGAGCGAGGCGGCACCGTGCTCGTCTTGTTACGGGCATGAGCCTCTCCAGAATTCAGGGAAACTGTGTGGCTTGTAGGGGCTGCTCGGCTTTTCCAGGAACAGATGCTTCTAGAAGAAAACCCGGGAGGGTGTCCGTGGGACGTGCGCCTTCGTGGCTGCAGACCTCCCAGAGGCCCCTCTGCACCGGGCCCGGTGGCTACACCTGGACCCATTGGCTTTAGGGACGAGATGCGTTGGCGCCTCGAGTTAAGGCACTCGGGCCGGCTCCTGTCACCCCGCCGAGCGCTCTTCCTGGGTCGCGTGCTGTGAGTTAGTGTTTCACATGGAGTTCCCAAGGCCACGTCCCGCCGCCCGAGGAAGCGTAATCGTTACCTTGTGTAACGTGTGTGCCGAGCGGGCTGGGAAGGGTGAGTACGGTCTGTGGCAGCGGGCGACCCCAAGGGCGCTGGCGGTCAGCCGGGCGGGAGCCGGCTCTCAGGGCTGGGCCAGAGGGTTCGTGGTGCTTCAGAGGCGTGGCCAGAGCTCAGGGGGCGGTTTTGCCCCCGTGGCTCACACCTCTGGAGAAGTGGCGTCCGCGAGGTCCCCGGGGGCCCCAGCGTCCCCGGCCGCCGTCTGCAGACATGTGGGGAGCCTCGAGTGTGTGGCCTCTTGGATGGAGCCTGCGTCTGGGCTGCAGCAGTGACCAGGGGGGTGGCCCAGACCTCACTTGGGACCTTCACCTTTCGCAGTGGCTGGCGCAGTGCTGGTCAGTGACCGCAGGAGGGGTGTCGTGATGTCGTGTCATTTTAACTAAACGCTCGGATGCTGGAGACGTCTTTAGTTTAAGAAAAAGCTGAGGTATCCAGTCTTGCGTGTCATTTTGTCACAATATGTCCCTTTCCCTGTGAGAACGCTCACACACGTGCGCCCAGCTGTGGAGACGCAGGAGTGTGCACACGTGGGCCACGGCAGATGGCGTCCGTGGTCCGCGGCCCGAGGTTTCCTGTTCGCGCTGACCGTGTGGCTTCTGGAAGGGCCACGTCACCCGTGGGGGCTCCGGGTACGCACCGCTCCGTGACGCTCGGCAGAAAGCCCGGAGCGGGGCTGAGGCCGCAGCAGCCACAGGCGCTCCTCGGCGGGGACGCAGGGCCAAGGCCATGGGGCCCTCCCGTCTCTCCAGGCTCGGGCCTCGCCTCCCAGCCGCTGAATTCCCTCGAACGGCCGCTTCCATCACCTGTCACTGCACGGTCGGGGCACGCACAGGGTGTGCAGACTCCGCCGAGGCCCGAGAGCCCGTCAGCACCGCGGACATCGTCCTCCGTCATGTTCACGGCACGTGCCCTTCACCCAAACTTTGGGGAGTGGTTGCCACCCCGTCTTCAGCTCTTTCTCTCTCAGGAGGTGGACAGACCTAAGCTTTTTTGTCTTTGCAGTGGACAGCGTCGGACGGTCTTGGCCGAGGCAGACAGCGTGAGTGAGATCGCGCAGCTCAGGGCCAGGGCCGGGGGCGCTCCGACTGGCCACGGGCGGTGTCCCTGTGCCCGGTCTCTGACCGCCACGTCCCCTCCCGAGGCTCCCAGAGGCCCTTCTCCTTCCGCGTGGCAGTGTCCCCGGAAGTCGGGCGAGTGGCTGATACTGCATCTGGGAAATGCCCGCGACCGCGCTATGGCTTTCCCGTCATCAGGAAGTCCCGTTGGGCGGCTCCGTAAGTCGCTCAGGACCCTGGTGTTTCCCGCAGACTTTGGCCCTGTCCTGGGCAGACGCGGGTTCTCCACACACACGTGTCTTTGTCCCACTTTTTATTTTTTTATTTTTTTATTTTTTTTTTAAGATTTTATTTATTTATTTGACAGACAGAGAGCACAAGTAGGCAGAGAGGCAGGCAGAGAGAGAGGGGGAAGCAGGCTCCCCACTGAGCAGAGAGCCCAATGCGGGACTCGATCCCAGGACCCTGAGATCATGACCTGAGCCGAAGGCAGAGGGTTTAACCCACTGAGCCACCCAGGCGCCCCTTTGTCCCACTTTTAATTGGTCGTGGTGCTGGGCCAATTTCTCTAGGGATCCCTGAGGTTTGTCTACACAGTGAGAAACACACCAGCCAGACCCCAGGCCTCAGGTTTCATCTCATTGAAACCGAATCAAAACGGGCATAGCAGGCAGGATGGCCGAGCGTAGACACGGGCTCTGGGGAGAGAGGCGGCCGCTGGGCCAGACCCCGGTCCTGTGGGGACATCACAGTCTGCAGCTCCTTATGGCCAAGCATTATCAGTTTACAGGGTGAGACCCAGAGGCATCCTCTGTAGGAAGAGCAGGACCTGGATTCAAGTGGCCGGGCGCCTCCTTTTGCAAAATCTCACATTCATCGTCTGTGCCGCGACAGGCCGATGTGCTTCCTGTGGGCTCATCCCACAGGCAATGGCACCTGCCACACACCATCCCTGTCCCCTCCCCAGCACCAGGACGATAAACCAGCTCATGCAGGTGACAGTGTGTGGCACCGTGGTTTCCCCGTGTCCTCGTGGTCTTCACTAGAATTGTCCTGTGTCGTGCACGGATTGCGGCGCTGAGGGGCTGGGGTCACACCGTGCAGAAGGGACCAGCCGAGTCCAGACCGTGAGGTCCTGCACAAGGGGGCATTGGGGCGGGGCTCCCGGCTCTCAGGACAGGCTCTTACTTTGGTGGTTTTGGAAAGGTCTTCAGTTCTGGAACCCGTCTGACAAGGAGGTTCATAATTAGCGTTGTTATCACGAGGGAAGGGTCACGCGTGGAGGGTGTTTCCCTCCCTCCTTGTTCCAGAACGTCGTCCTGGAGACCAGACCGGCCATGGCGTCATCCTCCTCCCATAGCCGGTGGCTCTACCTTGTCCTCGCTGATGGGGACGTTAACGGGGTGTGGTGCTGCGGCCGCGCTCGGCGTCATCTGTAATGCCCTGTGTGTGCCCTTTCAGCCCGTCGCTCCCAGCCCTGGACTGGCAGCTGCCGTCGCGCTCGGGACCCTACGAGCTGAGGATCGAGGTGCAACCCAAGCCCCACCACAGAGCCCACTACGAGACAGAGGGGAGCCGGGGGGCCGTGAAGGCGTCGGCTGGAGGACACCCCAGCGTGCAGGTACCGGGGTCTTTCCCTGGGGGACGCACCCGAGCCCAGAGGTGGGAGCTGTGGCTGGAGCGGCCCCCGTGGCAGCGGCCGGCGTGGCTTCTCCCATCCTTGGCCAGGCGTGTGAGCTCCGTGGCGTGGGCCCCTGTGGTCTGTGCTTCTCCGTGCGCGGTGGCGGGGCACGGGGACCCTGTAGCTGCCGTCACCGACCCTTAGCTTGGTGTGAAAACGGGAACCCTCTCCAGTGAGTCCCAAAGCCCGTGGGGGGTCCGCGCGCCAGGCCATGGTCGGTGGGGCCGTGGCCTAGGCCTCGTGTGGCGGCTGAGGGTGTGCTGTTGCCGCATCCACACAGACACTGCCTGTGCCTCGTCTGCCCCAGGGCAGGCTGGTTCAGACGGGATGGGACAGCTGGGAAACAACCCGAGGGTCTGCCTCACGTCCCTGGTAGCACGGGTGGGCCATGTGGATGGGGGCACCTTCCACCGGTCTTAGGAGACTCAGCCCTGGGGGTTTTTCCTTTTTTAAAGGTGTTCTGGAATAGCAGTTTTAAAAGAAAATAAATATAACCTTGAAACGAAGATGTTTTATTTTTGAGGAGATACGTGTCGTCAGAGGCAAGGAGGGCCGCCCACGTGGCTTCACAGAGCTAGCTGCCCAGGGTCTCGCCCGTGTTCTCCCCTCCCCTCCTCTGCTCAGCCTGGGATGGCCGTCAGCTGCCCCGCATCCCAGGGGTCTCCTAACAGCCAGTCCCGAAGAGCATTGGCCAGCGTTTGCGGGAGTTCCGTGGACACAACCCCCCCTTCGGTGTGGAAGGTTGATTTAAAGACTCCTTCCTTGGAGAAGGTGGAGTTTTCCGGGTGTGGCCCCTGGCCCAGAAGCGCTCTCTGCCCCACACAGACCACGGGGCCGGAGCTCCTGGGTGGGCCCATGGGCTGGTCCCGTCGGCTTCCCAGCGTGGAGTCTGTCCTTTTCCCTGCTTTGGGATTCCTCAAGCAGGACGTGGGAGGGATAGAGGACCTGCCGGGAGGCTCCGGGCATCAGGGAGCATCCAAGGGAAGAGAAATCACACGCAGTCGGCACTGGGCTGGGGTCTTCTGCCCACATGCAGGGGGTGATTCTGGGAGCAGATCTCCCACCCCAGACACTTGGAGGGGAATAAGGTTCTTGGCTTTCGAGTTGGAACATTTGTCATTGGACGCCTGGGGACCCCTTGGTAGCCAAGACACAGGTAGTGTCCGCAGCCCAAAGGTGTCACCCTTCACCCCGGGGAGGACGTGTGGGCACGGAGCTTGGCTGCTGTGTGGACCTCAGTGGACTTTGACACGTTGCCGACAAGCTTTGACCCTCCTGGCCAGCCCAGTGGTGGGACTCTTGGTGGCTACGTGCGGATGGCTTTACTCTCCTGCCCAGAGCTCCAGGTGGTGGACGGGGCAAGTTTGCCCCCCATACCCCCTGCCGACCCGTGGGCCCCAACCTGTCATTGGGGGAATGAGGTGGGTAGAAGGGTGCTCAGCAGGGCACCTGTGTCTTTATTTTATGCCATTTAGATAAGAAGAAATCCTGCCAGGGATGGAGCCCCAGCGAGAGAGCCGTCTGCCCAGGCGGCAGTCAGCAGCGTGGGATTGGTGGGAGGGCGTGGGGCAGTGTTTGTGGCCGTGTGCTTGGTGCCAATTAGTACCTGCTTGCTTTGCCGGGGACCGTCCGCACACGGCAGCCGGCTGGACGATTTCAGCCCCACCTCCCTGGAGAACGGAGGACGAACAATGCCGCATTAGCCGAGCTCCGTAACTGGACACTTAACTCCCTTTCCCGCTGCTGCTGCTCGGGGCAGAGTGGGCCAGTGCGGGTGGGAATAAAGCAGCTCCAGGAGAAGAGAGAATTGGGCAGCAGAGGAATAATGGCCAATGGCTGCATTTCTTGAAATTACAGCAGCAAGGGGCCTGGGTCCTGCCCTGGGGGGAGCTGCCTGCAAACATTACCTTTTGTTTTGAAATGCAAAGCTCAGGACTCCTTGGGGACCGCCTCTGGGCTCCCTCGAGGGAGGACTCCTGGAGGACTAGGGAAGGTGGCCCCTTGGCCCTGGGGGCTGCTGTTGCCGCTCACACCTTACTGGACGCCCCCCCCCCCCGCCTTCGCCCCAGCCTCAGAATGGTGTTCTCTGTCAGTGTAGACATTACGGGGAGAATTGAGACATTTTGGAGAAATTAACAACTTGAAACAGTATTTGAAATACGTTACAAATTATTTCAGATTAAGTGAAGGCAAATGGAAGGGCTGGTTGTGTGTTTAAAGGGGGTGAACCCCCGTAACCTTGCAGGTGAAATGCAAACAGTAAATGGTGTTCAACAGAAAACGTCAGGTGCTGTCAGCACTTCTTCTGGGAAAGTAGTGATCTGGGGCTTTCTGATGGACCCACAGCAGAGTGAGTGTGTATCCGTGCAGGGGTGAGGTAAGCAGTTACGAAGAGGGGGCTTTTGGGGGTTTGCTTTCTTTTTCAGTTGGTGGACCACAAATTGGATAAAAATAGAAATTGCACACAATTATAAAACAAATGAAAATAGAAAAGCCTCCCGTTGCCGCGAAAGCACACTAACCACAAGGTTTTATCCTGTGCTGAGCTATCTTCGCGTATCCTCTGACGCGGTCTCCCGCGCCGTGCCCGCTGCTGCCTCTGCAGGAGCCGGGCCACGCCAGGGGGAGTTCCTGCGAAGCCACGTAGCCCACCAGCTGCCCTGTGGCTGGTGGGTCTGCGGCAGGTGGGCTCTGGTCCGGACAGATGGAAGCCGTCGCAGGCACCAGGGAGCCCGATAAAAACACGCGGTAACCACACCTGCCGCCGTTAACCAGACTTTCGACCCCAGGCATCTCCATCACAGCAGTCGTTTTCTGCAGACGGAGGTGCTCCTGCTGGGCCCCAGAGGGAGGACCTGCTCCTTTTCCGGAGCATCAGTGACCGCAGGAAGGAGCTGCCCAGCCTGCATCCAGGACGCACGGCGACACGTGCGGCGTCCTTCTCAGACACAATCAGAGTAGGACTGCGGGGTGGGGAGGGCCTTTCAGTGTTCTTGTGGTCCTTCCACGCTTCCGTGTGCGGCCTGAGAGCGTCTCAGCGGGCGGGTGCTGGAGCGGGCCTGTGGGGCCCCGGCCCACATAGTTTCTTCTGAGCTCCTGTGTTCATACCCATAGTTGGGAAGGATGACAGCAGTCCGTGCTCCTGGGCCCTCCAGGCTGCCCACCCTGCACCCTGGGTGTCGTCCCAAGCCCAGGAGGTCAGTCTGCGCCTGTCCAGGGGCCGGCAGCTTGGTGTGCCTGAGAGCAAGGCCTCCTGGGTTCTTAGAGGCCCAACCCCTGGGTCCTGGGCAGGAGGGCAGGCCTGCCGTGGGCCTCACCTTTCGGGGGGAGTGTGGGGGCTGCGGGAAGGCCGATCCTCCTCCAGGGTTGCTGCTGACATGCCACAGCCTCATGCCACAGGGTCCCCTCTCTGGGGCCAACCGCGTTGCCACCGGCCCTCTGCTGGTTCTGGTTTCCCTGGGCCCCATCCCCAGAGCAGGGTTCCCTGTTCCCACCAGCCCTGCAGGGGCCCAAGCAGTGACCTGGGGGACATTGCTGACCTCTGACCCAGGGTCAAACCACCCAGCTCTGCTTACCGAGTCACCCAAACAAGTGCTTGACAACATCCAACCCACCTCACAGGAGGCTCATGTGTGTGAATAATTCAGAGGTTGCTGAAACCAGAAACCCAGGGAAGGTCTCGTGAAGTTGGAAGCAGCATGTCGGGTCCACAGCGTGTACCGTCAGTTCGGCTCCTGGTCACTGTCGGGGGCAGTGAGGCCCTTTCTGGCGATGGTGGAATTGGCTATAGACCCTCTGTGGGACGTGGCGGGGGGGCTCCCGGCCATGTGAGCGGCATGGGGGGGCTGGGACGTGGGTCCTGGCCACAGGCGCAGGTGTGGTCAGCGAGGGGTCTGGCCTCGGGTGCAGGTAGTGTGGCTGTGCCCTGGAGTGCCATTGTCTCCCTGGCACCTGGCTTCTCGGCTTACCGGGTCCCCACAGAACATGGTATTTGCTGCCACGTCAGGGCAGAAGCCCGAGGGCATGGACATAGCAGGGAAGCCGGCAGGGACCGTGGCCACCATGGTGACACATTGTTTCATGCAGCTCGTGGCCCAGGAGCAAGGGTTCTGGCGCCCCTAGAAACCGTCCTGGGGTTCGAAGGTGGGCATGTGTGCTCCCAGCTCGTTTCCATCACTCCGGGGTCTGGCCTGTAGGTTCTTACTTGAGTCGTCCTAGTGGGTGTTGCCTCCTACTCACAGGACAGTGTTGTTCACCAGGAAAGCCAGGATTTCCACGGAAGAGACAGATGGGTGTTCCCAGACGACGTTCATACTTGATGGCAAGCGTGCAGGGGCGTCTGCGTGTGAGCGTCAGGATCCCCAGAGCCCACGGCCACGCAGCTGGGAACCACATCAAGGGAGGTAAAATGCAGGTCTGAGCCCCACCCCGCCCAGCCGTGGCCGGCCGTGGCCAGCGTGGCCGACCTGCACAGGACGTGGACTCGTGTCTCACAGGCTGCCCCTCCCCTTGCCGCCACGTCCAAGCAGTGGGTCTGCCAAGCACACAGGCTTCTGCCGGCGCCAGCTGCGCCCCCCACACCGCGGGGCCACGACCGGTGCACCTGCCCAGCACATGTGCAGAGAGCCATCAGCTTTTACGGCCAGCGAGGACTTGTCCCTCGACGGAAAGCCCGAGGGGCTTCCTGGGGCATTGGAGAGAGATACTCCACTCTGCGCGCCCCTCTAACATTGTGGCGTCCAGCAGACCAAACGTGGTCCTTGTGCGGGAACACGCGGGGTCGCGTTGCTGTCTGTGGACACGTGGCAGCGGTGGTGACCTCAAGCAGGTCCCTAACTGTGGGTTTTAAACAACTGTGTACGTTTCGTCATTTAGCGGAGCTGGTGGAAGTGTGGCTCAGGTTTTCCTCATGGCCCCAGATGCCCCCTTTGGGAGTAAAG